TTCTGTGACGCTCGAGCGGACCGGCATGCGCATGCCGTTGTGCATCCGCTGTCTGAGCGTCGTGTCGTCTCGCCCTGGCAGCCAGGGCAGTGGTCATGACGGTGATGCTGGTGGCGTGCTGGTGGGCAAGGAGTCCGCCGCGACGCCGTCCTCTGGTCCGCCACCCTCTTCCGTGGTCAGCACGTCGTCCTTCTTGTCTGCGTCATCTGGTGACTGGGGGCCTGTCCGTCCGCTCCAAAGCGAGATACTGGATGGACTGGCCGTCTGCCAGATCTGCAACGACGGTGGGGATGGCTCTGGTGCTGGTGCCGTGGAGTGCAAGTGGGCGACGCGAAGGGAGCTCTGGACAAACGTCCAGGGCCTCGTTGGGCCGCTTCACGAGGCCATGGGCAGCGCTTCGTCGACATGCAGCGGCTGATTCGCGTGGCTTCGCTCCTGCCGTCCAGTGTGGCCATGACGGACGCGCTACGCAACGAAGAGCAGAGGGGCGAGGAGGGGGGCCAGTGGCCGGCGATTGATGGGCTTGAGTGGGTCAGCACGGCCACATGGCTGCTCGACGGACAAAAGGGCGAAAGTGGCACTTCCACTCCAGCTGGTGGCAACGAAGACCGTCGACATGCAGCGGCTGATTCGCGTGGCTTCGCTCCTGCCGTCCAGTGTGGCCATGACGGACGCGCTACGCAACGAAGAGCAGAGGGGCGAGGAGGGGGGCCAGTGGCCGGCGATTGATGGGCTTGAGTGGGTCAGCACGGCCACATGGCTGCTCGACGGACGAAAGGGCGAAAGTGGCACTTCCACTCCAGCTGGTGGCAACGAAGACATGCTGGTGAGCCGACAGACACAACACGTCACTGACAACAATACCGTGTGTGCCTGCCTTGCTAACGCGTGTATCCTCCCGTGTGTGTGGTTTGACAGGTCAGTGCCTCGTTGGCATCGAGTGATGCATCGGACGTCATTCATCAACACGTGGCCGGCCGCACACCACCGTCGGATACACACTCGGGTAAGACGCATCACACACAGGCACGATGTCCGGACCTCTGGGCCGGCACGCTATGTGGACTCTTCTGTGTGTTCATCAGGTCGTTCGTGTGATCTCGCGAGCAAGATCGATGTGACGAGCTCGCCTCCCTCACGCACACCCTCACACTCGTCTGTCGCCTCACCCGCTGGCGGCCACAGCTGCGAGGTCGAGCGCCTGCAGCAACAGATTGGCGACCTGCTGTCGTCCCTTCAGCGAGAGGCGGCGTCACGCCAGCCACCGACGCCGACCCCGTCCGATGACTCACACGTGGCCTTCGGTGGCCTGCGTCTCAGCCAAGCCACGCTGGACTCCTTCTGTGTGCGCGTGTCGGCTCTCACTAGCGTGGTGGTGTCCGCCCAGACGCTCGCGTCACACCCGACTGTGGATGCTCTGGCAGCCTTCTGTGCGAGCAAGAGGGCGGCCCGCAGCAACACGAGCCACCAAGATCTGAGCATCTCCGCCATATTGTCGGTCGGCGATGTGGGCGACGGTGACGAGTCGAGATGGGTCGAGGGGGGCGACGGAGTGTCAAGCTGGCGACCGCCTGTGCTGCTAGGATCCACTCGCCGTGATGCTATGGCGGTCGATCAAGTGCACAAGAAGGGCATCGTGCTCGATGGAGGAGTCAGCAAGAGCGGGAAGATCGCAGCTGGAGCTGGGGCCTCACCAGATGACTATGTCAAGACGGATGGCCATGATGAGCGGTCGCTTCCTCTCGTTCTTGACAGGAGTAAATCACAGCAACTCATCGAGACGGGCAGGCTGCGAGCGGCTCTCGAAGACGCTGTCATGGGCGTCGTCAGCCGCTCGTCGCACCATGGTCTGCCACAGCAGGAGGGGGATACTCGGGCCTCCCTGTCGCTCCAGCAGGCGGGCATCGGGCCAGCAGAGGCGGTGACGCTGCGCAATCGGCTGCTGTCTGAGTTCAATGTGGATGTGGAGCCTTCTGTGATGCTCGAGGCGCCCACTTTGCGAGATCTGATTTACGTGATCATCCGAGGTCTGATTGACGTGATCATCGAGAGAGAGTTGTGGTGCGCTCGCAATGCCGGCACCGAGGCAATCGAGGCATCAGTGTCGCTCTCGTCTTTGACTGGCGATGACGGGCAGAGCGTTGCGGTCATGGGCATGGCGTGTCGGTTCCCTGGCGGGAGTCACAGTCCCGCTGCGTTCTGGGAGACGATGATGGCCAAAGAGGACTGCATGGGGTGCGTGCCACTGGGCCGGTGGGACCACGAGAGGGTCTTTGACGAGGACCGCTCCGCTCCGGGGAAGACGTGCGCGCGGCTGGGCGGCTTCGTGCTCGATGCAGCTGAGTTCGACGCTGGGTTCTTTGAGCTATCGACAGCTGAGGTCAGGGACATGGATCCGCAGCAGCGGCTGCTGCTGGAGTGTGGCTACGAGGCCCTGGTCGACGCTGGCTTCTCTCGAGGACGTCTGATGGGCGCATCGGTGGGAGTGGCGGTTGGCGGCAACAGCTACGACTGGCTGCTGACGCTCAAGGACCGACACAAGTCCACGGCTTTCACGGGCATCGGCAGCTCGCCCGCCATTCTCGCCAATCGGCTGTCGTACGCCTTCGGCTTGACCGGCCCAAGCCTCACGATTGATTCGGCCACCTCCGCCTCCCTTGTGGCCGTTGACAGCGCCGTGCGATTCATCAAGATGGGCCAATGTCGCACTGCCCTGGCAGCTGGCGTCACACTGATGCTCAGCCCCTACTCGTTCATTGCCTTCTCGCGTACCACCGATTCAGCCATCTGTATCTCGTGACACCGACATGCGTGTGGACTCTCCGCAGCCAGCCCTCCGCCGGTGATTTTGGTCGGGATATATGTGCCTCGCGTTTCGAGCGGCGGGGTGGTGATGCGAAGTGGACACCTCGCATCGATGTTTGTCTATGTGGATCTGTGTCGCGAGTCTCGTCTATCCCTCCGACAAGGTGTACGAACCGGAAGGAAGAGCAGACAGACAGGAGGACGTATACATGGAATGAATGGATGTGTATCGACAGTCTGCCGCACACACAACCGAACACAACCGATCTACATGTGGGTGTTCCCGCATCCCAGTGACCACCGCCTCCGCGTATGTGTGCAGCCGACGTGTGCGTCCACTGTGTTACCGCCGTTCTGTCCCGCGGTGTCTTTGTCCGATGTGCTATGAATAATAGCACAAAGCTCGATGCTGGATGAAGTGTTGCTGGCGAGTGAGAGTGGGTGTTTGATTGGGTGCGTGAAGGTTTATGTTACTGAAGGCTTAGGCTATCTCTGTTCGCACACACGGGGGACTGCTCTTATGAACGACTGACTGTCTGTCACACAGACGGGCACGAGCAAACGAATGAACGAACGATCGGACGACGAACGACGAACGAACGCACACGACGTGTCACTCCTGCCACACGATGCACACACCTAGCTGCTGATCACAACAACTGGTCTGGAATCTGCCTTTGTTGATGATGGGAGTGTAACGTGTCCGTCAATGGGTTCGTGCGACTGCCTGTCTGCCTGTCTGCCTGTCTGCGTGGATGGATGGATGGATTTGTGTATGGATGGATACATGGATGGGAGTCGATGGGTGCGTATGGAAAAAAGAGCGTTGAGGAAGGGGACCCTTTTGCATGATGAGATGCATGCTGTCTGTAGCCAACGCACATGTCAGTGGAGCAGCCCAGGTGCTGCAGGCAGCCAGACATGTCTGTGTGCATTGCAGAGGTGTTTGCTTTGAGCAGAGCAGCCGAGAACAGACGAGGATAGAGCAGCCCGAGGTGCCTGCAGCGCAGCTGTATTTCATGCCGTGCTTGTACAGCCTAGCCAGCGCTGTAAGCTTGCCTCGAGAGTTCCAACGGACACCACAGGATTCCATTTCCCAGCCTTTCGGCTTTGGCAGCCTTTGTGGCGTTGTTGCATATCGTGATTGGACTCTGCGTGTCGTTTCTGTTGCTTCTCAACGGGCTCCCTCCCATATGTCTGTTCCCCACTGTCGCTAAGGACATCACCTGGACATCGTCACTTCCCTCTCCCACGTCACGTCGTCATCCACACTATCATCCCCCTATCCATTGCCACTAGAAGTCAGTCATCCCTCTCTCTCACACCATACCCACACGTACAGAGAGGGCGGTAGCGCGATAGCGCCTCTCTCTGTTTGTCTGTCTGCCTCTGTCTTATCACACATCTCACACCCAGAGGCACAGAGGAGGACGCTATTGTATCACTTACGATCTTGTCAGTGTCTCATTCAGGACATTGCGAAGTATCTCGCTCAGCTCCCTTACGCAGGGCTGTTGCATCATACTATAATGGTCTCCTTCGCATTGATAAACACGCACGTCCTGAAGGCAGAAAGCACCAGGAGTCTATTGCAATCATTGCAACCAATTAATTGACTTCATTACCGCAGCTTCCATGATTGGCGGCAAGAATTCAACATAAGTCGTTCGGGCACCACAAGAGTAAGCCGCTCTTTTGGTGGCCCGGAAAACTGTCACAGAGCCAGAGTATGGTGGGGGTGTATATAAGGAAAGAGCTCGAGAGAGCCAGAACTGCACATTCAGCATTCTCTTTCTTCTGTCATGACCATAAGTCGGATATATCCCCGCCTGTGAAACAAACAAAGCTGACTAAACCAGACAGAACAATGCTTGCTATAATTTACTTGTACAGCCTTGTCGTTTATGTAGTCAATGTAGTTGTCTAGTTCTTCACCGAGTGCCGCCAACTCCTCTAGGCCCACAAAAGCAGGCTGAAGTATACAAATAATACAGCCACCGTGAGCATCTACACGTGTACTACCCACAATCACAATCAAGCATACTCGTCTGAAGTACTGAGCGATGATTACACCGAGCTGCCATGTCAGGTAGGAGTGACTGAGTTGTCTTGCTTCCATGGGTATAAAGCCATCTATCAATGCTGCAAAAACCATGACACCATAACGTTCAAACTACTTTACATCAATACATCACTTGCTTCACCTCCTTACCGCATACGGCAATGTCACACCGTCTGTCTCGCAGCTCAATACACGTTTGATACGCCACGAGAGCACCAAACGAGAATCCACATACCTTGTATGGCCCCTCAGGTTGCACTGATTGAATGACATCGGCGTACAGCTTTGCTATCGCTTCGACGCTTTCCAAAGGCGTCTCGCCCTTCTCCAGGCCCATCGCTCTTAGGGCGTATACAGAGAATTCGCCGCTAAGAGCGCGAGCAAGGGGCAGAAGCGTAAGCATAGTGCCGCTGACATCATGGATGAGGAACAACAGAGGCCGAACGTCATCACCAGCTCTGCCAAAACAGAAAGAGGATAAAAACTAGGGGAACAAAATTCCAAAACCTCTCAATCAATTCTCTTTGCACCTGAAGTTGACCTCAAGTAGACAGGGGTGCAATTGAGAGACCTGCCAACATGTGAATACAGTACATTCTCCTCCGCTGTGCTTACAACCTATGCCTACCTGCAGAGACTCTTGTTGCTCAGCTTCTTCGAACTTGCCAATGCAATACGATATAATAGCATTGATGCTTGGATAGTCGTGCAAGAACGTGGCAGGCAGAGAGACTTGAAGGGCGTCTGATAGTGCCGCTTGGAAGTCGAGTGTGCTCAGTGAGTCCATGCCGAGGTCTGCCAGGGGCGTGTGGGTGGCGATCGAATCGTTGTCACCAGCAGCCGCGGCGGGCAGGACCCTGCGGGCCTCGTGTGAGACGACCGACAAGACCTCCTCCCGAAGCTCGGATGGTGACAGCCCCGACCACCGCGCTGCCAATGTCAACCCGCCACTCCCTTGGCGCCCATCGTCCCGCTCAGTGACGGCCTCTCGGTCGACGAGCCTCTCGAAGACGACAGCCGTGTTGTTGGTGGGCCTCTGCCGGTCCTGCTGCGCCGACCACGACAGATACACACTCAGGTCCACTGGCATCAGGGCCAGCACCGGCTTGGCATCCCGCCAGCGACACAAACACAGGCCCAAGACGCGAAGCGCCAGATCGTTGGTGAAGGCCCCCATGCCGACACGCGAAAGGCGCTGGAGCACGCCCTTTGCCATGCCCTGCTCCGCCCATGGGCCCCACTGGATGGACTGCGCTGGCAGACCCAGTGCTCGACGGTGGTGGGCTAACGCGTCCAAACAGCTGTTGGCTGCGCAGTAATTGGCTTGACCTCTGTT